AACATACAAGGTTAAATGAATGGAAAAAGTGTGTGTCCATTTAAAGTACACAAGCTTATATCATTTTAAGATAAATAAAGAAACAAATTATGGGGAAGAGAGAGTGGAGGAAAAAAATTGTAATTTAAAATTTAAAAAAACACACTACATTCATCTAAAGGACCATCCTTTTAAATGACAAACAATAAACCCTAAATGAATTATACTATATTAGCTAGCTAAAGTATATTATTTTTGCCGAAAAAAAAAGCATTTCTGTTTTCCAAAAAAGAAAAAAGAAAAAAAGAAAAGCATTTCTATATATCTGACAACAATTTAGTGAAATCTAGCTATACGCAAATTAGTTTAGAACAAGTTTTTCATCCAAAAGTGTCACCAAACCCAAATCCACCCATTTGATAAGGCATTATATCTTCTGTAATTGGAACATAAAGAGGATCCCCTTGTGCTTGTTGCATTGCATGTAATGGCTGCATTGGAACGACAGGAGCATGAATCCAATTCTGTATGAACTCTTGTTCTTGTTGTGCCTCTTGTAATCGTTGCATTGGAACGTTAGTAGCATGAATCCAATTATGCATGTTCCCCTGTGGTGCTTGCTGCATTGGATGATCAAGAACATGAGCCAAATTCTTCATATTTTCTTCTGCTTGATGCATTTCATGTAACTGCTGCATTGGAACAACGGGAGGACAAACCCAATTTTGCAACATCGCTTGTGGTTGTTGCATGGAAACATTACAAGCATCAAGAGGAGGAAAAGCCGAATTCTGGTTTATCGCTTGTGCTTGTTGTGGTTCTTGTACATGCTGTATTGGAACATTATGCACGTGAAGATCATTGGGACGAGAGACCAAGTCAATGTTCTCTAAGGTTATGTCATGGATACTCGCTCTTTTCCTCTCTTTCTTTGGAAATTCTTGGCGTTTGAAGTATTTCTGAGCATGGCTAGCGACCTGAGTTGCAGTTTTTGACTTAACAACTTTGGTTGCAATACTTTTCCAATCTCCTTTGCCATATTTCTCCATTCCAATGAGAAATAACCTATCACAAAACACAAAAGGAAGTGAAATTTTTGAAACTTTAATTTTTTTTATCTCAGTTTTATTTTAAAAAAAAAAACACAGCAAAAATCAAACGACTATGTTGAAAAAAATGCATGTCGAATAAGGGAAATGTTAACAATAGTCTCACATTTCGTATTTGGTTAGTGAAATAATAATGGTGGCGGTTGAAAAAAAACAATGGATTCCCAAACTAACTTAAGTTGTTTTTTTTAGCTTATGGGTTCTCAAAATCAATTTTAATGCAGCAGTGAGTGGAATTAATTTTCAGTGAAAAATTCACAAAATCTTTCAATGTGATTTTAATATAACATTAATTATATTTTTAAACTCACTTTTAAAATATCATTTGCAAATACAAATTTAATTTTTTAACCACAATTCTTTCAAAACCAATTCTGTCGAATATAAAAACAACATGGCTTACTAATTTACTCTTATATTTTAAAATTGTTTCTATACTAGTTATTTGCTTTAGCGTTAAAAATGAAAAACAATAAAAAAAGTTAATGTTGACCATATATAGATAATGTAAAAAAAAAAAAAAACCGTAAAAAGGTTGTGATTTTTTTAAAAAATATACATATTTTTTCAATTCAATGAAATGAAATACATTAAATTAACCTATCAAAATAAAAATAATAATCAAAGTAAAAATATAAAGAAAAACAATTTTGTATAATAAAAAATAATAATAATTAAATAAGAAGAGGTTCTTAGACATTGCATACCTATGTTCTTCTTCAGTCCACGTCAATCTTTTCTTCCTCCGAACCGGATTAGTCTTCACCGACAAACTATCATTTACTTCTGGCATGACCGCAACGGAGTCATATGAGTAACTGGGCAACTCGAACCGACCCGGTTCAACCTGATACAAGTGGTGGGGCAATGCATGAAAGTGTTCTTTTACCTCAGTCGAAGTCTTGCCTGGGACATGAGTTGCAACTCTCTGCCATTGCTCTGCCTCCGGCATATTATTTGGGAAGATCGTGATGGCTTCCTCAAAGGTCTGTTGCTGCAACCATGTGAACCCTCCTCCATTCATATTTTGTTGCTGATTATCAGGAAGCCGAACCATTCTTCTTTCTTTGTTGCTTTCAAAGTTGACAGACTAGGGTGACAAGTTTCTACTCCAAAGCTTTGGGAATCTTAATTGTTTTGAACAATGATAATGATAATGGTAATGCATGTACATTTATATACAATGTTAGATAAAATTGATCTGATAGATTGATATCTATCATGAACTACCAAATTTTGAATTTTGATTAACCGTTATTGCATTTAAATATTTTATATCTGGCATTTTCGTTGAAATGTTTTATCCGTTCACGCTGTTTAAATATTTGTTATCAAAATAAAATAAAATAATTATTTGACTCTCAAAAAATCCAAGCAACCGTGATTTTAGGAAATTTGTGTGAGTGTGACAATCATGAATGGTATCTGTGTTGACCGCTTACCATCATATTTTATTTAACAATTAACGTGTAATGTTTCTCTTTAAAAAATAAATGTATTTTTAACAGAATTGCACAACTTTATGCATATTTAATATCAAATGAAATGCTTTTAATAAGTAATGTTTACTGAAGATTTTCTCTCTAGAAGAAGAGATTTTAATTCAGGCCTAATTTTATTCAACGTCAGGCCTCTTATCTATTTTTGCGCGTCTTGATAACTGAATTAATATTGAATCTACTTTTAAAATATAAAAACGAGATAAAATTTATTTGAAATAAAGATAACTAATACTACCAAATCTTAACCGTTGATTTTTGTCAATCTAACGGTTATAATTTATTAAAATTTAATAATTAGTTAATAAGTGTGATCTAATAAATTATAACCATTAAATTGACGAAAATCACCGGTTAAAATTTTATAGTAAGAGATAACAAGAAAATAAGGTAGTCAGTGTCACCTCCTCCAAAGTTAATTAGATAACCCAATTAGTAATTTGAAAAAAAAATAAAATAATTGGGCTTGTTTAAATTATATAATCTTTTAGATACCCAATTGTTTGGGCTGTTTGATTTTTGGGCTTCAGCCCCACCTATTTACCCAAATAAATATATAAGATTATGGCTTTGATATTTTCTTTTATGATGTGACAGTGTGACACTATGTAACTAGTTGATGAATGTACACATAAAAGTATTGCCAGATAATATTGTAAAAAATATTCTGACAACAAATCAAAATTAAGATCCTTCAAGAAACTTCCATTGGAGATTGATTATGTAATCTGTTGGCAAAGCTTGTAAAGGGATAAATGGGGATGTTTTTGTTTCTTGTTTAGGATATAGTTAAAGAAAATGTAAGGGGTTTTCGTCTCATAATATTAATTTGTCTTTTAAATCAAAGCTCAATCATAATAGAAAAAATATATCAATACTTAAATTCTTGGACGGAGGATCAGCGACACCAGACGAAGCCAGAAAACTATTTATTTATTTAGCAGTAACGTTATGTTGGTACTTGGTAGGTTCACCATTAATTATCTTCATCTGTAATCGACAATGTAAGTTGTGATACACAGCTCATATAGTAAAGTCTGAAACGGACATATGCTTTCAAGTTCTATCACCTTTTCAAGACAGTTTTATGTGGAATGTATTTTTCTGCAGTCCAATTTCAGCCTTCTAACTTGGGATGGAAGGATAAGGACTCTCTCTCTGTCTAACTTAGCAAATATTCTTCAATGACTTCAAGGATTGGGACCATAAGTCACTTTCATTTTTAATTAAAAATGGGACAAATAAACCTCATGTCATCCCAGTCAGTTGAGAAAATTTTCAGTGGGCCATGACCAACAAAGCACTGATATGCTCTCTTTTTTCAAAATGTGCGTGTTGAGTGTCGTACACTGACAGTCTCCGCTAGTCAGTTAATTTTTTTCGACACGCGTTCTTAATTTTATTTTATTAATTAAAAATAAAAAAATAATTTATAAATCAATTTTTTCTGTTATGAAATTTACATGAAAAATTAACAAGATACGAAAAATTATTTTTGTTTATATTTATGTTATGAAATTTGAATATTTGATTGGTTATATGACTTATTATAGGCTGTTACATGTATTAAATATAAATTATATTCTATATATTAAAAATATTATTTAATATCAAAACGTGTCTCAACTTGTCAAAATATGACATTTTTTAAAATTAACATGTCGGCGTATCGTGTCCCGTATCAATGTCGGTCCATCATAGGCCATGACTACTAATTATTAGGTGCTCCCTTTGGAAAATTTGGGACATAAATAAAAATAAAAATAAAAGAAAGAAGTAAAGTGGAAGAAATTTTGTTCACATTTTCACAAAGGGACCACTGAAATTATTTTCCGGCCGGTCCCTCCTAAGGCCAAAACATTGGCTTTTTGCCTCTGGGTCATGAAATTGAATAAAAATAATGTAATGAAGGAGTGTTTCAAGAAAAATCTTCTTTAAAATGTGTGATAATTTACGTAAATAAATTCTTGTCATTAACCATTTTACAATTGAAATACAGGACGTTTGGAATAGAAGTTTTTTTTATATGTTAAGGTTGAAACATATGAGAATGATTCCGTGGAGGCTACTTTCCTATTTGCTATGCTGAGTGCTCTATCTCCTTTACATGGTACTCATTCAGTGTTGTTTCTTAGGTTCTACTTTTCCCCTTGTCCTCTCTTATTTACCCCCCTTAAAAATAGTCATCTGTCAACTTGTATGGACCACAGCAACTTGTAGTCTTGTACCATCCCTATCAATGGATAAGGCACAGCTTTATATGTATCATATCACTGCCCTTACCAATACGTAAAGGCATTTTGTCCTGAATCTGAATAAAATATGCAAGCGAGATATAGAACTGTCCTTCTTAAAATAGTGATATATTTAATTTCTAGAAGTAGTAGCTTGGCTTGTAACAAGCTGAAAGGCCAAAAATAAAATACCAAAAGTTATACAAACATCTATTTCATTATAGTTCAAAACGAGATTGGTAATTTCACATATCTCAGCATTGATTTGCAAATTCTCTTACTTAACATATAATACACCTGGCTGAATCTGCTTACTGAACGTATTCTATTCAAGGATGTAATATTACTAAAGATGAAAATAAAATAGCAATCAGAATAAGAGGAGACACAAAACTAGGCAGCAAAGGAGGAAAAAACTGATCCTGCTGAGTGATTTATCAACTTGCATTAAATGCCTTCTGATCCTTGGGTTACTATTCCCTGAAAGATTATACGAATTAGGATATGTATATATGTTTGCCACCCGGTTACCAAAGACCCTTGCAAATATCATCTCACCAAAGATTCCAAATGTGTTATCTAGTGAACCACTTGTGCTAAGCATTGGTGAGGTGTAACTGCTTGGTATTGAGTTGAATTGTTGAGGATGATAAGAATGATGGGCATGATGATAACTTTGTGAAATAGGTTGGGAAACAGTTGTATTATATGAAATGGGACCCAGGGGTCTTCTTGGTATCACAATCCCTACTTGATGGACTTTCCCTTTTGAAGGTGGTGTTGTGGTTTGGCCACGGCCATATAATGGAACTAGGGAAGATTGAGAGACTTCTGATTTGCATACAGGACATTTTGGCTTCTGCTGCACTTCAGTTTCCCAAGAGATACTTTGGTGATGAAGCCATTTGTAAATGCAAGGCCAACAGTAGAGATGACCACAAAGAGTGACCACAGGATCTTGCACACACTCCAGGCATATGTTGCAGTCAAAGGCACAAGAGGCATTTCTATCAGAATCTGCAATGGAATCACTGGAAGATTTCCACTTTTGCAAAGATTGTTTATCTTCGAATGAATCAATTTGGGGCATAGTCTCCTCCAAGTACTGATCTAAGGCCATTTTTTCTTTTTGTTTTACAATGTGTTCTCTTGCAGGTACCTGAACCTGAAATGCAAAGCACACAATGTATGAATTATCAGTGTCTGATAAGTAATAACAAAAACAGTTTTTTTTTTCGTAAATGAATTTTTGTTAGGATGGATGAGGGGTTTAAATTTTAAAAAGCACTCTAGAAATTCATTAAGAAAAAACAATCCTCAAAACTGAAAGTTTAAATAAAAAATTGGTGTAGTTATTTTTTGTGGTTGAGAAAGTTGGTTTGGCAAAGCAATTCAAGTCAGTTTAGGAGTATATATCGAGTTTAAGCCTTCCAGGCATCTAACATAGAATCACTGACTCTCGAAATTGAATAAAGTGGGTTATGCAAATAGAAAAGACAACAAAAATGAATAAACTGAGATCTCAACCAACCTAATCAAGCACACAGTGTCTTCATCAAATGCATCAAACATACATTAGCACAATTATGAATACTAGGTTAGCCAAGCCACTTTGATTCCAACTTTCCATAAAAATAAAGTGTTTATAATTTCAAAATAAATCCAAATTCTTAGGATCAAATCTAAAGGTTTACATGATAATATTAGAGCACTAACAACAATCACAGAAAAATTTGGAAAACTATCTTATATATAGGATGTTACCTTGAAAGTTAAACTAAAATGATCTTTATATGATAATTATATTGAGATACCTAGGCACAGCTCAGATGGTTGGTGAGGGTGGGCTCAGAGATTGGATAGAGGTGATAAGTTGTTATAACCACCCCTTACCAAAAATTAATTTTTATATCAATTATTTTGAAAGAGATAAGAGTATATTTCAATGTAATTCAGTATGTCAAATGCCAAATCTGAAAACTATAAGCCCATTCAATACAGCCGCCACCTAACAATACTGTTTTGAGTAATGATACTTTACTTTTTACTCACAAAGTATTCACAAACTCAGTTATTGTATCCAATAACGTACATTAAAGTGTGTAAAAGTTTTATGAGTAAAAGTGTAAGTATCATTGCTCTAGTAATTTTGTTTCTTCAGAGTAGTTAGAAAATATTGCACACTTTAACTTTTATTGTCTATTTAAAGGAAGAAAAAAAGGTTTCTTTTAAAGGATACATAGTCTACAGACTCTACACATTATGAACAAGTTTCAAAGAGCACAATTCCCCTAATACCAGGTTAAATTCGAGTTTTAAGAACGAAGAAAGCAGGTGTCTAGAGTTTTGCCCCCACATGTGGGGTTTATCCTGCTCTACTAGACTTAAATTATTGGGGCTCTAGATATAGGGATATGAGGGAGGAAAAAAAGAATTGATTCTACAATCACTTTTAGTCAATAATTGAAAGGAAAAGGAATAATAATAATAGAAAAAGAAAAAGGACTATTTCAATCACAGACAATAAGATAAATAATAATAATAATATCTTCCAGGCAGAACCTATCTAACTGCTTAATTAAATCACAAAACTATTTTCAAGGAAAAACCTAACAAGAGAAAATCTAGCCAATGCATTTTACTAATAATACCCAAAATTTTAATCAGTATACTATATGAAAGAGAATTATGAGGGGTAGACAAAATGTTTCTCCAGTTGAAACGATCAAGTAAATTTCATATGAAAGAAGGCAACTTTTAGAGTGTAAGAGAAACACACATCAACAATCCCAGGAATGTCATGCATCATGCTGACCGAATTTTCAGAGATCAAGCACCATTAAACTAAATCAATTTTCAGGAAACAGCAATTAAATTTCTTTCTAGATCTGCTGGGAGAGAAAACAAGATTCAATCATTAATGAACTACGGAATATTGTGGATTATACTGAAAACAGAGACCAAATTGTAATCCCAGGCTTTCATCTGTTTATTAAGGACAGAAGTTTACAAAGGATAACAAAAGATTTAAGCACTAAACTAAACTTGTGACTTGAGAAAATTAATTAAAATTAAGATCACGAGAGGAACTTAAACGAAAAATCTCATATATTTTTGACTAGAAAACTATAATCTTTTTTTCTTTTTTTGGAAATAAAAAACAGTGTAATATGCTGGACCAACCTAACCAGACAACATAGAAAGGGAAAAAAGAAGGGTCAGATATTTCATACTAGTGACAGACCAAAGTATTGTCATCTATAGGAAACTTAGGAAATCACGATCCCAACGTAGAAGATTGATACTTTTCTTGAAGAAAGTTAAATTATCCATTATTGACCAAGTTGTCCCTCATAATTAAAAAAAAAAAAAAAAAAAAAACTTTTTGATAGAAAATTTCAAGACCCAGATGAACACAAGAGGCTAAGTACACAAAAAGAAAGATAATTGAAGGAAAACAACAATCAAAACGCATGCCCATGTCTTCTCATCCTGTGGAGAGAGAGAAAGAAAGAAAGGTATTTGAATACTTACAGATGAATAGAGAAGGGAAGGAGTTGTGATTGAAGGGTGCAATTGCAACAGCAAGGAAGCTCAATAGAATAGATGGAAAGTTGCGTCGGAGAGCAGAGACATAAAGGAGCAAGAAAGAACAAGAAACAAAGTAGGAGGGAACAAAAACCAGAGACCGATTTTATAATATGTTCTGAAGATCCAAAACGCAGTTGAACCGGTTCAATTGTAAATTGGTTATGTAACCATTTTGAATAAGTTAAATTAATTAAACCATATAATAAAGAGTTGATCGTTTCCTCTGTGAGATGAAAACAGATGGAGTTATGTAACAAAAAAAAAAAAAAAAGATTGAGTTATCTCTTATAATTCTAAAGTTATATGATTTTGAGAATAAAAAAAAATTAGTAAGTAGTGTTTTAGTAAAATTTATATAATAAAAAAAGAGAAAAGTGTTTGTAATTTTAAATGACAGAAAGTTATGACATTTTAAGAGAGATGCAGACACAGAAAATTTAAATTTTAAATTAAAAAAAACCACACACTTTCTCTCTCCCATGATTTCCGTTTTCTGTGTCTATCTCTCTCCTAAAATGACATAACTTATGTCATTTAAAATGACAAACACGAACCCATAAAAAAATAAACAAATTTTTTTCTTCAATCCTCATCGGGAGAGGTTATAGTTACTACCTCTTTTTCTTATTACCTGTTATTACTAAATCGTAACTGTTGATTTCCGTCAATCTAACGGTTATAATTTATTGAGTTATTCTTATTAATTAATTATTAATTTTCCATAAATTATAACCGTTAGATTGACGGAAATCAACAGTTACAATTTAGTAGTAACAAATAGTAAAAAAGAGAGGTAGTAACTATAACTTTTCCCATCCTCAAAATAATATAATTTTGAAAATTACAGTAGATAATTTTTTTTCACCTGACAGAAACAATTTTTTTCCTATAATAAAAGACAAATAACATGATAAGATATGAGAAAATTTAACTGTTCAACAGTTCTTTTATAAACCGGAAAGATAACCTTCCCTGACGTGGCGCCACATAGCACACACAGTTACACTCTGCCCAAGGGAAAAGAACTGGTTTTTTTTTAAAGAAATAATAAGTTTTAGGGATAACATCTATCCTTTTAAATGATATAAACTTATATCATTTTAGATCCTAACTGTTGATTTTCGTCTATCAACGGTTATAATTTATTGTATTAAAATTATTAATTAATTAATAATAAATTTGGCCCAATAGATTATAATCGTTGATGGACAGAAATCAACGGTTAAAATCTAAAAAGATATAAACTTATATCTTTTAAAAGGATAGATGTTTTTTCCTAAGTTTTACGCATTATTATCGGGGAAGATTATAGTTAGTACTTATTTTTCTTACTACATGTTACTATTAAATTGTAATCGTTGATTTCCGTCAATCTAATGATTATAATTTATTGAAAATTAATAATTAATTAATAAGTATAATCCAATAAATTATAACTGTTACGTTAACGGAAATCAACGGTTACGAGTAGCAAGAAAGAGAGATAGTAACTATAACCTCTCATTTATTATCGAGTCTATTTTGATATTTCCTTTAAAAAAATATCAAATGATAATTTTAAAATTATATAATAAAAAATATAAATTAGATGATAAAAAATTCAAAATTTTTATAAATAGAAATTTATAATTTTTATTACTTAATCTATAATTTTTTTGTTTTTTTGTTTCTTTTGGTGAGGGTGCCAAGCCCCAAACAAACAAGAAAAGAAATTCCATTAGAGAGCATTTAGCCGCATGCATAGAGCTAAAATCAGAAAAGTAAAACCACATAATCTCAGGGGAAAGACTGAAATAAAACAAAATCATCCTGTTCCAAGTTCTCCGGTAGGAGATTAGCAAGTCAGTCCGCACAAACATTTTCCTCTCTTTAAGCGTGAGCCAGTCAAAGAGTCTAGTCTTTTGATAGCCATTCCTCTATCTGAGTCACAATGTGAGAATCACAGGATGCATCACCAGTCTTGGTGAGCATAGTGATAGCAGAAGATGAATTACTTTCTAAAATAATCTGCATCCAACCTCCTACCCAAGCTCGATCAAGCTCTTTCAGAATACCTCATATCTCAGCTGTAATTGTGTTACACTAACCCACCCGATAAGATAAAGCCTCCAATCATTTACAGATAAACATTAATCGGTATATTTCTAGACAATCATCAAGAATAATGTTGGAAACTCAAGTGTAATTGACTCAACAAAATTATGGTTTTATTTTTTTCACACTTTGAGAAGGAAAGTAAAAATGACGACAGGGCACATTCCTACTTTGCAGATAAACGCAAGCCAATCTTTGAAGGTTAACGAGCTTCACGTGCAGAGAATAAGAAATAGATATATTTAATGTTATATTGTCATATAAAAGAGGATTTTAATTATTAATAAATAAATCAACGGTGATGAATTTATAATTTTTTATTTCAATATTTTTTAATTCTTTATCATTATTGATTCACCATTAAAATTCTCTCACGTAACATACATGAGAGTATTTTAAGTGACGAAGACATTCTAATTAGGAAACTTGTAGTAAAAGTATATTTCTTATGGGCATGGAATAATGAAGCTAAATATCGGCTATTAAATTACTTTTAAAGAATAGTTAAAAATGCCGGACGAGAACTTACAATAGTCTTAAATCTTTTTTATTTTTTATTTTTGGTCATAAAGAGTTTCTGAACCATTTCCAAATTATATCAAGGAAAATGCACCTCTAAATAGTTGAAAGGAACATTTGGGCCAATGATATGAAACTCGATGGACGCATTGAATGTCCCATCCAACGTATAGTGGAGCCTTGAAGTTATGATGTCAACAACTTGTGAATAAAAATCAGTATGTTCAATCTGACTGTGGGGAAGATTATTGTGCCTGTTAAATGGCCGAGTCGAGTCCAGCTTTGGTTTTAAAAGATTAAGTTTGTATTTAAATGTGTCGGTCTGATCAAGCCTGTTACTTATTATGAATATAATTTCAGCATGTGACCTGTCTTATTTATAAAAAATAAAAGTCTCGTTTAGCCTGTTTAAAAAAAGTAACACAACAAAAATTTATCCAAATAAAATATACAATCAACAACACTAGTAATTCCATAAATATTCATAAATTTAATGTATATCCAAACAGCATAATAAAAAATAAAATCATTCAAAAAGTCCGTTTAGTTAATAAAATTGGATGAAATGGATTGAGGAGAGAGATGGCTATCACAAGTAGTATAAAAAGTATAAAATAAAAATAAAAATAAATATATTAAGCCAGCCTGAGAGGCTCTAAGGCCGAGCTTTTGAATTGGAACTTGAAGCATTTTTATTAAACGAGCTTTTATACAAGTCCAAGTATGGTTCCAACAATCAATTTTAGACCTATAAACTCAGGCCTTCTCGAGTCGAGTCAAAGACTACTGTAATACCCCTCACTCGTTTAGCACCCATAATTGTGCCCAATGATATAATGAGATTCTTACCTTTTAGATAGATAGGAATGACACGCAATATTGACGAATGCAACATCACTCTTATTTTAATTTATCTTATGGCTATATAAATATATATATCCCTTCTCGATAAGACGTAAATAAGACGACTTTGGAATGGCATATGACTCCATTGTTGTTTTATTCTCTCTCCTTAGTCCTTACCATATGTATTTAATAGAACATACAAATGCCATAAATCTACCTGCATACATGCTTCGTGTAAGGTCAATAATCACAACTTCATATTAGAGGTAATTTTAGCACAAGTTTCATATGCACTTTGACTCTTTCATATAAATATATCTTCATAAATTTATATTTTTCGGATGGATGTTCGCATCATCACAACGATCAATTTAACTTTGTCGATATTTCTTTCCTTTTCAACTTTTTCAAGTGCCCCACCTACCAAATGAAATGATAACAATTGTTATTTTAGTGAGAATCAATTTGTGATATTTTACTCGTATTCGTTTATGTATTTATTTATTTATTTATTTTGAGAATATCAATTAAGTTTTGATTTAAATAAATATTGGATTTATTCGTTAAGTCATATTGCCATGGGGCATAAGGCATTGAGATATATGGAGGATAATTAATACTCACAAGTCACAATTAAATATCTATCCCCATAAATTATAATATGGATGGGATTAATAAACTCTTTCATTCTCTACTAGGATTTTGCTGCTAGTGCATTAGTTCAAGGGTTCAAGAAGAGTCCTCATAGGAGGAAGGCAATTTTGCTCCATGAAGGTTCAAGGGAAACTCAAGCCCATAGTGCTTAAAAGGCATGTTAAGTACATCCGCATTGTGAGTTCTTTTGATGTACTTCATTAGTGGGAGTAGGAATTTTTAATCACTTTTTTGTTGTGTTGAACATATTATTTAGGATATTGTTGGGGTCTGGTTGACATGTATCTCTTATTGTCACTAGTGAGCAATTGATAATGCATTGAATTTTTTGCTTTCGTATATGTTTTTATATATATGCTTATGTAGGTCAGTTGTGCTTTTTTTTGCAACTCATTGTGTTGTTAGACTACCATGTCTTTGGTTGGCACTGTTGTTATGGACCCATATAAAAGGTTCATACTATATAAAGCCCAATAATGAGTAATAGAAAGAATAAACTAATATAACTAAAGAAAAGTATCAACAGATATTAATTCTAATACGACAGCAATGAACCTAGACATGGGCTTTCAAAGGAGGCACCAAAGGTTCAGAATTCCACTACTCACAGATAAATCCTACAAATAAGAGGTAAAACCTACATGTATAGACACATATTCTCTCTACTGTTATGTTGTCAATATGCACACACACCACCCCTTTGCTAATGTCGTTATCATCAGTGCACAGTGATCTACTACACTCAAAGATATCTAATCCATAGATATCTGAGAGAGCATCTAAATCCAATATCAACATACGAGTCTCTTGACTAGACATCTCTATCCCTAGGACAAAACAATTGTATTAAAGTTTGAGGCACAAAAGTACCATGAAAACTTGGCATTGTTAGGACCATTTGGCCTATGGTCAACATCATATTATAGCATATGACTATTTTTGGATAAGCCATGCAATTTTATTAGCTTTAACGCATTTAAGGGAAATTATGGGAACTGATAGAGAAAATATTAATG